GCTGCTATTGAAGCAACCAATCAAGACCTAGAAGACTTTGGTATACAAATAAAAGAATTATTAAATCTAGGAGTAATAAGAAGATCTACATCAAAACACAGATCAGCAGCATTCATGGTAAGAAATCATAGTGAAATAGTACGAGGAAAAGCAAGGATGGTAATTAACTATAAAAGACTTAATGATAATACCAGAACAGACGCATATAAATTACCCGATAAAAATGAACTAATCAATAGAATGCAGGGAAAAAGGATATTTAGCAAATTCGATTGTAAATCAGGATATTGGCAGGTAAAAATGCATGAAGAAAGTATAGAATGGACAGCATTCACATGCCCGGAAGGGCATTTTGAATGGTTAGCCATGCCATTTGGACTAAAAACTGCCCCTCCAATATTTCAAAGGAAAATGGACAAAATATTTGGTGACTATAAAAGGTTTGTTTTAGTATATGTAGATGATATCTTAATATTTAGTAAAGATATTAAAGAACATTTAGGACATCTACAGACAGTGTTTAGATTATTTGTAAAAAATGGAATAATAGTAAGTAAAAAGAAAATGGAATTGTGTAGAAACCATATAAATTTTTTAGGAGTAACTTTAGGAGAAGGTAAAATCAAATTACAACCACATATCGCAACAAAAGTACTAGATATGCCGGATAAACTAGACAATACAAAAGATTTACAAAAATCTGAATTTCTGCTACTTTACCACTCTTTTTTTTTCTAATTTTTTGTTATTAAGAATTTCTGCTATTTTACCACTCAAATATACTCAAATTTCCTGTCTTACATCCTTTACATTTAAAGGTTATATCTGTATTATTATTATATCTTCTTTCGGCTTCTTGCAAAGCTTCGTCTACTTCATAACCTTCTTGTATTATTTCTACATTCATAAATTCTTTTTCTTCTTCTAATTCTAATTCTTCTTCTAAATTAGTTTGATTAGAGTAATTATAGTTGGTGAATCTTATGGACGTTTCTCCTTTAGTATTAGTGTACATTAAAGGTTATATTAGTGTACATTAAAGGCTCTGATACCAAAAAAATTAGAATCCTACTCAGTACTCCCTCTTACTCGTGTCTGGTCATGTTTATCTTATATGTATCCTGTTTTTCCCTTTTCTTTTTTTTTTAGTACTACCCCGTTCATCTCTTCCTTTTAACCTGTATTCTTAATAACTTCTTCATTAACCCCACCCCGGAGATGGCCAAGACGTCCTTTGAATATTTCGGACTTTTTGAAGGCCCTAAAAGCATCCTAGGAATTTACAGGTTAATCCATCGTTATTATTAAGAAGTTAAAAGTCTAACCATATACTGAGGGTAGTTTTAAACATATTAAGTAAAGCAAATAAACAACATTAAAACAGACATAATTTACATATATTTTTAGGGAAAATACAGGGAACATAAAGACTTACATGACTTAGACGAAGAGAGGTTTCCCTTTCGGGAACCCCGACTGACTCTTACACACTTAAAACAAACTTTTTACAAACTGAATATTACAAGAGGGATTATTAGAAGGTTTTGGATTGAGTGGTGGAGATAGTTTTTTGGAACATTGGAAGGAAGGGGAGTATGTTGTGTGTTCTTTCTCGGGTTTTTCTTTCTTACCCTTCCCAAGTGTAGAGGAGTGTCTTTATATAGAGTTTGAGGAGTCTTTGGCATATGGCGTGGACAAATCTTAATGGCCAAACGTGGCCGACGCACTAAGATAGTGGACAAAAAAGTAGTGGTAAGTAGTGGCCTAGACGTGGCCGACTCTTGAAACGATAAGATAAGCTCAAATAATTCATGCCGGGTACACATTTGGGCCCCATCGCACATGCCTTATTTTTGCTTATTGACATCTACTTTGACATAATATACAACGCGTGCTTATCAGTTTTTTCCTCGTTGGAGGATAGTGATAAAGTAAGCACTCACATGACAAATGTGGGCATACCCACATGGCACTCTTTTATTCCTTCTTTAATTTATTGTCTTTATCTCTTCTTTCTGCATCTTGTCTTCAAGTGTCAAGGTTATGTAGGGCTAAAGAATCAAAGCTCATTCCGGAATCATCATCTTCATTAGGATCATGAGTATCTTCATTCTGAGCATCTTGATAATACAAATGTTCTCTATAGTCTTCTTCTCCTGAGCTGTGGGATCTAGTTATGTTATTATTAGTATTCCTTCTTGAATTAGTATTAGCTCTGTCTCGTTCTGTATCTGGCACTAATCTGTCTCCACTTGGATCTGGATTTGGTGGCGTAGTAATTACATGCTTATCCTGTCCCTGTTGGAAAAACTGTTCTAAAGTCTTTTTTATTATGCTCTCTATTTTATCCTTCTTTTTCTTTTTATGGAGCATAGTCTTCATTGTTGTTGTCTCTGCCTGAGTAAATGATCTAGGTAACCTTCGTGAACCCCAAAGCTGTATACATCAGTTTTTTGAGTAATAATACCCTGGTGGTGATATTCTGGAGCGATATACCCCACTGTTCGACATACATGATCTACTACCTCCAATTCCCCTGGAGGTAATAATATGGAGAGTGAGAAGTTCAATATTTTGGCAACGCCGCTCTTCTCATCTATTATCACATTAGATGGCTTTATATTTCTATGGATGATAGGAGTAGTAAATTCAGTATGGAGGAAAACGATTGCAGAAGCAACCTCACGTGCAACTCGTAATCTATTTCCCCAACATAGCAATTTTCTATTAAGATTATCCTTTCTGAAAAGTAGATCGCTAAGAGATATAGCTTCAACATATTGATACACCATAACTGCTTCTTCAAATTCTAGACAGCAACCGACAAGTCTCAACACATTCTTAAGATGACTCATCTGAGCAATAATCACTATATCTCGATGGATATTGAAGAATGAAAAGCATGTATCGAACCTAACTAAAACGGGGAGGTTGCCTAGCCATCTCGTTACCATAAACCTATCGGCAAGGCCCATTTTGGTTTTAGAGTGTTTTATTGCATTGTGGATCTCTATGGCAGAGAAGTAACGGATGGGAATTATGCAATTTCCGTCGCATAAAGCAAGAAACTCCTCAAGCACGCAACTTCCATTCTTTAAATAACAATCCTTCTCTTTCTTCCACCTTTCAGCAGAGGCAGAAGAAAAAAGTTTTTTACTTGTGAGTCCCCTGAAAAAAGGCATGCTCTAATTTTGAAGTGATGACTAGTCTCCATGAAATTGGGATTAAATACAATAACAAGTTGGAAGCTGCTTCGTGATGGTCTTCTAATTTGTGCATTGACGGTCACACAAATTGGGTTTCACTACTAAAAAAACAGTGAATACCGACCTAAAAATTTCCGACCTCAAATGGAGGTCGGTAATTTCCGACCTCCGGAGGTCGGTATTTACAAATAGTCGGTTTTTATGAAAAATAAATAGGGAAAACCAAATTCCGACCTCCGGAGGTCGGAATTTGGTTTTCCCTATTTATTTTTCATAAAAACCGACTATTTGTAAATACCGACCTCCGGAGGTCGGAAATTACCGACCTCCATTTGAGGTCGGAAATTTTTAGGTCGGTATTCACTGTTTTTTTAGTAGTGAAACCCAATTTGTGTGACCGTCAATGCACAAATTAGAAGACCATCACGAAGCAGCTTCCAACTTGTTATTGTATTTAATCCCAATTTCATGGAGACTAGTCATCACTTCAAAATTAGAGCATGCCTTTTTTCAGGGGACTCACAAGTAAAAAACTTTTTTCTTCTGCCTCTGCTGAAAGGTGGAAGAAAGAGAAGGATTGTTATTTAAAGAATGGAAGTTGCGTGCTTGAGGAGTTTCTTGCTTTATGCGACGGAAATTGCATAATTCCCATCCGTTACTTCTCTGCCATAGAGATCCACAATGCAATAAAACACTCTAAAACCAAAATGGGCCTTGCCGATAGGTTTATGGTAACGAGATGGCTAGGCAACCTCCCCGTTTTAGTTAGGTTCGATACATGCTTTTCATTCTTCAATATCCATCGAGATATAGTGATTATTGCTCAGATGAGTCATCTTAAGAATGTGTTGAGACTTGTCGGTTGCTGTCTAGAATTTGAAGAAGCAGTTATGGTGTATCAATATGTTGAAGCTATATCTCTTAGCGATCTACTTTTCAGAAAGGATAATCTTAATAGAAAATTGCTATGTTGGGGAAATAGATTACGAGTTGCACGTGAGGTTGCTTCTGCAATCGTTTTCCTCCATACTGAATTTACTACTCCTATCATCCATAGAAATATAAAGCCATCTAATGTGATAATAGATGAGAAGAGCGGCGTTGCCAAAATATTGAACTTCTCACTCTCCATATTATTACCTCCAGGGGAATTGGAGGTAGTAGATCATGTATGTCGAACAGTGGGGTATATCGCTCCAGAATATCACCACCAGGGTATTATTACTCAAAAAACTGATGTATACAGCTTTGGGGTTCTTCTCTTTCTGCTATTAAAACGAAAGGGAACGCGAGATATTATGAATACTTGAGTGGATTCTATAAATTCAAAAGAGAGAATACATTTTGAAGTAGACGCTAAATTCAATACTGAAGAGAGTAATACTTTGGATAGAAAAGATCATGCAATTCTAGAAGAGATAATAGATTTTATAAAATTTCCAACCTACCTCATTAATCACTATATCAAAGAGAGTAATGTACTGGATATAGTGGAACCTACTATTCTTGAAGAGCATGGAATTGAGATTCAACAACAATTGAAAGACTATTTGGATCTTGCTAACAAATGCACAGCTGACAAGGGAGATGATAGACCATACATGATTCATGTCGCAAGGGAATTATGTTGAATTTAAAGTATTCATATTAGGTTCCAATTTAAAGGAAGTTCAGTTTGTTTGTACCCTCATATTTATGTTAAACAAAAAAGAGATGTGCAGACAATGAAATTGCCAATTTGATCTTTACTTTGCTCTATTTGGATTGATTTTTCCTTAGTTTTGTATTTGTCATTTGAAGCAACTCATTCCTGAAGCGTATGTTGCATCAACGCGGGAGAGGAAACGATACACCACATTTTTAGCACAAAGTCAACTAGCCAAGAAGGTATATATGGAACTTCTTTTCAGGTTCCATGCCATATCTTTCTCTTAGATTGCTAATTATGAAATGGTGGCTAAAAAGCACATTCTAATGATGTCCATAGGCTTATCCTACATACTATGCCTATTTTTATTTGTTGAATCTTTGGAAGAATAAGTGTAGAGCCAAATATGGCAATAAGAAGTCATCTTTTGCTAGAATTCTCTATGTTATCAACTATGATATTCATAACAAAACTTACCCTACTATTCAATGGTCCAACAAGTGGCAAGATCTTTACTGCGAAATATATAGAATCTACCAAGCATATCATTTAGGTAAAATGGTTTAGAACAGAGGCTAAAATGACTATTTCTAATTTCAAGCTTCTTCATAGTTATTTCAAATTGCAAGATGTCACAATATCTCCCCTTTGGGAACATTCGTCCTCGAATGAGGTTACTCTTTGAGTTTGTGAAGGTCAACACTGATGGTAGTGCTCGCTTTAATTCGGGAAGCATTGGGGATGGTGTGATTATCTCTAATTAAGGCCATGTCTAAACCTTTGGGGATAAGTACTGTTATTTGTAGTTTTGATGATTTGACAAACCCAGGGACCTTGTAAAGGGACCTGCTCTCTAGTGTAGATGTACACTCAACTGCCAGGCTAGAAAAAGTACAAATAGTTGGTGCACAGTCTTCAACTGTGGCAGAAGTGGTAGAAACCTCAGCCAATGGCATGGTTTCGAAAGTTGTGACTATTCTTCATAAAGATTATGTCTAATAGTCATAATTCTAGTTTTTGCAAATTGAAAACTCTCAAGAACTCTTGCAAAGGCTAACAAAAGGTGAAGAATCATCCTCAAGAATAACGGGGACCTAATAGAGCTGCAAGCTTATGTTGTCTTAGGATTATTTCTTCTGCACATACATTGTAAATCTGTTCCTAAATCTATAAAGGATTCAGATATTGTGTTTTGGTTGAAAAGTCTAAATCGGTTAAGGGTAACTGATTTAGTGGGCAACATTGTTTTGTTGCTTAGTCAAAGTCTAAGTCATCTAGAGTGGATGGTTTAGTGGGCAACCTTTGTGTTGCTTAGTTGAATCCTAAGTTGTCTAGTGGATATAGCTTAGTGGGCAGTGTGGTATCTGCTTAGGCTCTTCAAGTAATAGAGTTATTACTTAGTTGTGAGATTAAAAGCTTTTTCTCACTTTGGTTGTAACTGAGTTTCAGTTTTGCTTGAGAAGATTAGTGGAAACAGTTGAAAATCCTGTGTGATAGGTCGTGGTTTTACTCCCTTGAGCAAGGAGGTTTCCGTGTAAACTGCTTGTGTCGTGTTCCTATTATTATTTATTTTTCTGCACTATTCTTGCTGTGTCAAGGGACCTGGTCCGTTGACTGATAGTGGGCGCACGCATTCTATCAATTGGTATCAGAGCGGGTACTCTCTAGCTGGTTAACACCAATAGAGATATTTCTACAAAATAATGGCTACTCCACTGAACCTCGAGGAAGGACAATCTTCAACAAAACCTCCTCGTTTTAATGGTCAGTTTTATAGTTGGTGGAAAACAAGGATGCACAACTATCTTATGGCTGAGGACAGCGAGTTATGGGACATATTGCTGGATGGACCTTTCATTCCAACCATGGAAGTGAAAGATGGTAAAATCACGAAAGTGGTTCCAAAGACTCGCCAACAGTACAACGAGGCAGACAACAAAAATATCAAAAAATGCTAAAAAGCTGCTAGTAAGTGGTATTGGTGCTGAAGTGTACAATCGCATTTCTGCGTGTGAATCTGCAAAGGAAATCTGGGACTGTCTAAGGACTGCTCATGAGGGAACAGAGCAGGTGAAGGAATCGAAAGTAGACATGCTAACCACTCAATATGAAAACTTCACCATGAAGGAAGGAGAGACTATTCATAAAATGCATACTAAACTTTCTTCTATAACCAATGAGCTACAAAGTCTAGGTGAGCCCATCAGCACTAGTAAGCAAGTTAGGAAGGTTCTTTGAATTCTTCCTAAGTCCTGGGCAAGCAAAGTAGATGCTATCACTGAAGCCAAGGACTTGAAGGTTTTGACAATGGATGCTCTCATTGGAAACCTCAAGACCCATGAAATGAACAGAAATTAGGACATCTCAAAGAAGGAAGCCAAGAAAGACAAGTCCTTAGTTCTCAAAATTATACCAAGTGAAACTTCAAGTGAAGAGGATGACATGGCTTATCTGACCAAGAGATTTCAGAAAATTGTGAGAAAGTACGGAGGGTTTAGAAAAGGAGGGAATCCTCGTAGGGTTGCATCTGCTAGTGACCTTTATCACAAGTGTGGAAAGGCATGTCATTTCATAAGAGATTGCTCAATGCTTAAAGCTAAAAACAAAGAGTATCAAAGACCTGGAGGTGAAAAAGATAAGATGAGGGACCTGGTACCTGACAAGAATGAAAAAAGGGCTGTAGCTGACTATGTTGTGAATAAAGCTCTTCCTGCTTGGGGGACTCCTCAAGTGAGTCAGGAGAGTCAGAATATCCTGATGACGCATTAATGATAGCGGTTCAAGGTAATGCTAATGTGTTTGATAGGTTGTTTGCCCTCATGGCAAAATCAGATGACCAGTACGATGAAGATAAGGTAACTCTCCTCAACATTAAACAAAACTTGAACTCCTATTCTGTTAGAAGGTTCAGAAATTTAGCAAATGTTTTGATTGAGTCTGTCATAGGGTTAACCACTGAAAAGGATTCTATGAACATTAGTCTAGATCTGCTTGGTGAAGAAAAGATAGTAACTGTTGTTCATATATCGCTCATTGAGGAACAGTTGACAGTTCTAGAAGTTGAAAATCTAGAACTTAAAAATCAATTGAGCATAATGATTGAGAAATCTGGGAAAAGTAAATGGAAGGCCACTAGTTTGCAAGCAGAGCTAGAAGCAAATATGAGTACTACTGAGACCAGACTTGCTCTAGCTTTGGAAAGAAACGATCAGATGGAGAGGGACCTGGTCCGTCTTAAAGAAGAACTTCAAAATTCTCTAAAATGGACCAGTTCCACCAAACTGCTTTCTAACATCACCAGTAAAAGTAACTACAACAGAAAGGGATTGGGTAGCATGAACATTAATCCTCCTTACAATCCCATAGCAAATATGTATCTGTTTCTGACAATTTACTGTGTCTTCACTGTGGTCGCAATGGCCATCTGAAAAGGGAATGCCCTGGCTGGAAGGCCTCACAAGAAATTTTTTTAGTATATTCTAGACAGAAAAAAATTCAAAAAGGGGGACCTGCTCCCATGTCTAAGTCCTGGAACAAGAAGAAAACCAATCTGCCTCATTGGGTGAGAAACATTCTTATTACGCCCCTATCACCCTTTTGGGAACTCAGATTAAAGTAGGTTCCCAAGTCTAACAAATGATCTCTGTTGCAGGTGAGTGAAGGAAGCAGAAGTCAGTGTTGGTTCATGTACAGTAGATGCTCAAAGCACATGACTGGAAACACCAAAAACTTCCTTTCACTCAAGGCACTTCAAGGCGGAGGTGTCTCTTTTGGCGATGGAAAAAGACGGTATATCCTTAGAGTTGGCAGGGTTGAAAAGTCTCTTGAAAGCTCCATTGAAAATGTGTATTATGTGAGTGGGTTAAAGTACAGTCTTCTGAGTGTTTCTCAGATATGTGATAAGGGAAACGAGTCAAGTTCACATCAGAAAATTGCATCGTCACTAGTTTGTCTACCAAGAAGGTGATCTTAAAGGCCAGAAGGCGGAAAAACATGTATTTGGCAGCACTGGAAACAGTTCATTGAGACGATCAGACATGCCTAAGTGCTCAAAGTGCAAATGCCGATTTGTAGCATAGGAGGCTAGGCCATGTGAGCTCGTCTTTACTGAACAAGCTGGTTTCTAGGGACCTGGTCCGTGTCTTGCCAAAATTGAAGTTCAGCGATAACACAATGTGTGATGCATGTGTCAAAGAGAAGCAGACCAGATCCTCATTCAAACCAAAGAAGCAAGTAAGCTCTTCAAGAGTTCTTGAACTGATGCACATGGATTTGTGCGGGCCTGTGAAAATCCAAAGTCGAAATGGGAAGAAGTATATCCTGGTGATAGTGGATGACTACTCAAGATTCACGTGGACTATGTTTCTCAAGTCAAAGTCAGAGATAGCTGACGTGCTGATGATTTTCTTCAAAATGATCCAAACCAAAGCTAAATTGCTTGATTGCAGGGATCAGGTCTGACCATGGAACAAAATTTGAAAATGTTAAGCTTGATGTTTTCTGTGCAGAAAACGGTGTGGTGGAAAGAAAGAATAGAACTCTGCTTGATATTACCAGAACCATGCTTATCGAGTCAAATCTACCTCAAAATTTCTGGGCTGAAACAATCAACACTGCATGCTATGTGACTAATAGGTGCTTGATCAGGTCTCTTCTGAACAA